TGAATGGGACCACCATTCAAAAAAAAGTATCATGAAAATCGGTTCACAAATACCGTAGTTATCGCGTAACATATATACAAAAAAGTCGAATTGTGAACCTCCTCCTTTTTTGAAGTCGGTTAAAAAGGAGATCCACCGAATTTTGTTGCGACAAGTCAACAACCTCTTAACGCCACAAAGAGCAATGCGAATTGTTGACATACACGATTAATAAAGTATTGTTAATAAGTCATTATTCCTTTAAAAGGACGATATTTCATTTAATGATTTTATTCATCTACGGTGATTATGTTTGCGTTAAGTGAGGGTCTTTAGTGTGAATCGCCATTGCCTTATAGAGTCATCTCTATTAGACAGATTAGTCTATTGAAAAATGATTAATTCCATGTGAGCACAGTAATTATTTACTTACCCCCACTTTGAACTACTTACACGTTTACCGATGTATTAATTTACATGTGATTTTGCAATTGTAATATTGCTTGGTAATTAGTCTTGTCAATTTATGTTCAATCAACAGCAAATGTGCTCTTAAGTTATATACTTTTGTTCGAGTATTTCCTCCAGTGCAACGGTACAAGATCCGTCAAATGTATACCTTGATGTGCTGCTGTCTGCGAACACTCGCTTGTTCAATTCAAGTATTATTTTATTTTATAAGTATTTTTTTTATGGATAAAAGAACTTTCGTTTTCGCAAACTTAATATGTGCATGAATAAATAAGACAGTCCGAGTGTCCTGACTGAGCTAAGGTTGCTTCTCTGTGTTCATTAATATGTAGGTAGAGTTTAAAATATAAGGCGCTGATTAGCGCCTTTAAAAGTAACCAAAAGGTTTAGTTGTAAGCGCTAACAAAGGATTTATTGTTTGAGACGTTTTTACTTTATCCTCGGCATTCTCTCAAAAGTCATAAATGTAACGGCCTTGGCTGAGTCACAGAGTGAGGAGAAATCAGCGAACTGAGTTGTTGTGTTTAGCGAATGTAAGATTAGTCTCGTGCCATAGCGAATTGAATGTTTAGTAACTTCATGAGTAAGTGCGTCTTACTCATCAATTCCTGGGCTTTACCTTACTTCGTCTTGGGGAAATTGTGCAGTCTACAAGAATAATAAGAAATAGTTTTCAATGAAAAAACAAAATAATCAAATATCTTGAAGTGAAGAACTAACTATACAGCTGTCGTTGATTTGTGTAGCAGCTACATTTGTGTGTAGCAATCATAACACAAAGAACAGAAGATCGAAAATAGATGCGTCTGTTGCCCCAGTAACTAAAGACTCTTGAGATCGGCGGACGCACAGAGTTTTCTTTATCCATAATGAAATTAGATGTTTACAATAATAGCTTTTATATTAAAGAAATGTTAAGTTGTAGCGTACTTAAATAGTAAATAACAGTACACTGTAGGAAAAATAAGTTAACAAAGGTGCATTGACTCATAGTTGTAATGCAGTTCAGAGTATAGCGTAACAGTTTCTCGGAGATAATAGCTATGACTAAACTATATGAATGGTTTCATTCATGAATGAGTGAATTCGGTCTAGTGATCATTTCTACAAGCGTTTGTAAGCATACTGGTCAGAATCTTGTGTCATCGTCCATAATGGTATACTAGTAATGAACGCAATTGTTACAAGTTACGTACATTTTCTTGGTATTGACATAGATTTACCGTAACTTTTTAACGACGGTTTAGTTCTGGTACCCAGAATTCCCGTATTTGCTTTTGATATCGCAAGTAGGTGGCATAGACCAACAAGTCACATTACGTATCTACTCGTATAACTTAGAAAAAAAATACTTTAAATTATCTTTATATTGTTCATTGATGATTAGATGAAAATTACAGACTTCAGCTTAACGTTATATGGAAACATAGGAATAAATTTGTGTATATTAATACAGTAGTATTGAAGTGACTATAAAAACGTTTTGACATTGATAGGTAATCGCGTAACTTTGTGAAATGATGTGAGTTGGTGAGTCAGTTGCTGTGTTTTGTATGCATTATCTTAATTAGGTAAGAATGCTAACCTTCCTAAAATTAGTAATACCAGATTATGGTCAGTTGTCATAAAATCAGTTTTAATTCATTAATATTATATTGGTAATTGTGAAAGTGATCGTTTGCTTAGTATAACATTGCTTTTAATTCAATACGAGTAACATGAGCTCTGATTACGAAAATACAAAATACAGGTTCAAAATCTAAATCAAGAACTTAACTAGAATCCAGCCAGTAATAAACAAGACAGCTGAAAGTGAGCTTAAGAGATTCAATTAATATGCTGATTCGTCATTCGTTCACGTGGCAGCTTATCAACATCGTATGAGATGTTACCTGCGCGTGTGCCGATTACAACTTACTATGAGTCAGCGTACATCCTGCTCTATCGTCGTACCACTTTCACGATCACCAACACGCCGCACGTTTTTGCTTTTGATTGATTCTCTTTAGACCTAATCTCGACGGTCAACTAGTATTTACGAACATAAAATTGGGATCTCTTACATTTGCCCATAATTGTTGGAATATGCACTTTCTATTTACGGTATCTTATCAAAATATGTGCCATCTTCTAGAAATCGTATTTGTTTCATGCGTTAAACAAAGATTATACACATTCCAATTGTGATAAAATTCCGACTTTATTTAAATTTGTGACTCATAACATAGTTTGGTCGGTTTGATAATATAGAATCAGACAAACGTATACAAAAAAAATATTGATGAAATCATTCAGTGTAATCAACGGTAATAACAATAATATTTTGTAAATGATTACATATGGCATCATCTAAATAGATATAGTTTTTATTGTCTGAATTTTCCTTATGTCTTCGTGTTAAAGGTTAGGGAAAATTTGAAAATAACTGTTCTATGATTCATTTAAACTGTCTGGAGCAGTGTTGGTCAATCCACGGCCCGCGGGCCAGTTCCGGCCCGCGATGGGCTTTAATCCGGCCCGCCAACCTTACTTACGTAGGTGTGTATGGCCATTGGAATTATATTTATTCAAAACAAAATACATTTTTTTCTGGTCCCCCTGTGAAATGTCTTGTTTTTCTGGCCCCCAATGAAAAACGCTTGCACACTCCTTGCCTAGAGTATTCTTCAGAGGCTATTTATTCTGTTTACTATTATTAAACTATCCCACAAGGCCGACGTTGAACAGATAGCATACATTTTTTATAAGCTCATCCGCAAATGCAGCTGTACTCATCACGAAATATGTACATAATTAGGTACATGTGGCTAAAGGAAGACCCGTATTAGTCTAGAGTCTAAACTAAACGGATGTTGCGAGACAATATTTTACGAGACTGTTTGTAATTGCGTTGTGTCACCGTTGGTACGTACATTGTCAGCTAATTAACTTTATATAGAAGACTATGGAACATAAAGAGATTAACCTCCAGGAAATCGATGACTTGTTAATTCCAATACGCATTGAGTAATAAATGTATAAAAGGAGTTATTATAAACTTATTGTTACTGAATATAATAAGCAAATTGTAAACAGCACTGTTAACGGTAAGTACTTATGATTGTGCTTTATTGATTGAAAATATTATTGAATATCGCGATTGAACCACATGTGGTTTTAGTTTACAATAAGAAGCAATCGTGTTCTTTTATGGTGATATTGTGCGAGTGGAAGCGGAGTGCGATATGTTTGCGCAGTAACCTATTATGTACCTACATAGGGGCTTTACACCAAATACAAAAAATCAAATATTTAAGATAATTATATTAACACAAAGAAATGTACCGTAACTTTTTGTTGCTGGTGAATCTGATGTTTCCGCAAACAACCAATATTATTCGCTAATTATTCCCAAAGCTTTGTGTTTTAACAATTCATTAATCATTTAAGCTGCGCAACTGATTCCAAAAGTACTTTATACATGCAATTCGAACAGTTCCAATCATGCAACAAACTATTTAAGACCATGCTTGAGACGTCATACGTGCCATAATTTATTGCATTCAATTTAGTAGCAACCTTCGACGTGTTGATAAACTATAAAATATAATTTTTTTTGGAAGGAGCTTCGGAACAAAACCCGATAAAACTGATAAATTTCGATTCTAATTTCGTCTAGTCTCATTGAATGGATTTGTCGTATTATGTTCAGATCCATGCATTTGAAACACATTTTGAAGTAGAATTAAGTCGTTGCGGTTCAGATTGGACAAATTATTCATAGAAACGTTTTGTACGTTCTTGTAACTACCATTTGGTACTAAAAAAGAAGAACAAGTTAAAATGTGACTTATCGGTTTTTGTCCGGCTAAGTGTTAAAATATGTAATTTATTATAAATTTTAAAAATAAAGACTCATAAACATCACTACCAAATAGGGCTTTCATCCCGTATCTTTTGTGAAGATAGAAGAACCGAATAGAAGATAAATACCGGTGCCTACTCTAAAATAACAAAAAATAGTTAGCCAATACATATATACTGGGACGTGTACAGGTTTCATCACAATATTTTCTTTCGCCGAAAAACTGATGGTTAATTTCAAATGTCGCGCATAAATTCCGGAAAACTCACGAGGTGCAAGCACGAATTCGAACCCATGCCCGCAATAGGCGGTAGGTCCAACAATTAGCCTACCACGGCTTTGTTTGATCGCTATAAAAATGAAAAGAAAGACTTTCATAAATCATTTTCAATTTTATAATTTGAGTTAACAAAAGGCTTGATTAAAATATGTTTTCATGGAAACCTACTTTTGCAATAGTTTTGAAACCTCTCGTTTTTGCCAGGATTTTCGAGACCGCACCGAGACTTGATTTTTATTCCCAGAAAGATATACAACGAGAGAGAAAGCCCTACCATAATATAAAACAATGAACATATGTGAGTGAACATATGTAATTGAGTTATCAAATAAACACAAGCTTTATTTATTATTAAGGATAGTGAGAAAGCAAATGAGTCTTTATCTTAAAAATACCCGCCAGCTAAAAGTGCAAAGCCAAACATACCCATCGTGCAGTTTTTGAAGCCTTTTCTGGTGCAAGAAGGGACTCTTCCGAACGTACCTGTAACAAAAAAGAAATGTTAAGATTTGTACAATTAATTGTGAGTTAAAACGCTTTGTAAATGATATGATACATATAGATTAATTATAATATAACTAAATTTTGCTTGTACAAAATCATTGTAAATTATTATGTAACTTATTGTTCACCACTTTTGTTTTAAATAAACAATATTTATGTTATACATGTAGCAAGTTCCTTTTACTTTATGACTCATTTGCAATTCAGTTTAAAGATTAGGGAACATTCTTATCGTTTTCTTTGTTTATGTCTTTCAGTATTTATTTTTTAACAAAAACACCTTACGTGAGCGGTTTCCTGTAAGAATAAATAAATAATATTATCAGTTAACCGCCTTTAACCAGATAACCTATATGTGCATTATATTTCAAATGAATATTAGTTTAAATGCTAAATAGTACCTATTGAACCTAGGTGGTTTACTGAATTAATTTATTGAAGAGTTCGTCCATGGAAGTACTGCCACCTTATCTGTTTCTGCCGCCAAACAGTAATGCGAGCATTATTGCGTTTAAATTTGAAAGGGTGCTGTTCAAATTACAGGCACATGGGACTTGTTAACTTATTCGCGATGCCCTTTAGACGTTTGGGATTGAAAACTCTAAATGGTACCGCAATTGCTATGGACTGGCTTACCACCAGGGGCATGACTTCTTCGTTCTGTCACTTGGCACTATAAAAAAAATTAAAAAACAATTGTTTTTTGGTTGGTTACCATTTTTATAGCGCGGCGCTCTACTTTTATGTCACATAAAACAATAGATTAATTTAATGTTTTACACTAACAATAATCGGGAAGTACTACGAAGTAGTACTACTATACGCCTATTAGCAATCCTATCACCACGATGGCGAGCATTATTGTATGCTATCGATACAATTAGAAGAATTAACGCTAAGGCTATAACGGCCGTTTATCGGTGGTCATATTAGCATGTCATACCTGATATGACCAATGAAATTAATGTTGGCTAAACATGACCACCAATACAAACATGTAATGGTGGTCATGTTTAGCCAACATTAACACCCTGTAGGCAAATTCGCTTGACGTACCTAAATTATGAAGTACAGAACCTAACTTATCAAATGTACCATTTTGTCGATCTTCATCTTCTTCAGCATCTTCCGCTTTACGAATATAGATTTTAGTCTACGTCTACAAATATAATTTCCTTTATAGGGCAATTAAGGTGTACAATAGTTTCCCAAAACAAAGAATTCTTCACCTACAAACTTGAAAAATAAAATTATCTGTAGGTTTATAACATACTGTGCTAGCACATTTTCTTGCATGTCTCGATTATTAAAACATATTATGAAATTATCGTGTATTTTTAACATTTCTATGTCTTGTTCAAAATTTTTGAGGCGTTAATTTAACCGTGACCATGGGACCTGTAAAGGGCCCGAAACGTCGGTTTGTTTGAAAAAACAAATATACCCGATTTAAATCCGGAAAAATAGTTTCATTTCCTATGCGTTAATTTAATTTTCGTAGAGCCTGTGGTATTATACAATTTGTCATTTCAAATTAATGTAAAAAGTGATAAAAGTCCTTTAAATGACATTTTTGAGTTTATATAGTGATGACAACAAAAAGAACCTATTTAAAATTTAATCATCAGTTTAACGCAACGGCTGAGAAATTGTTTAAAACATATCTGAAAGAATGTACCTAATAAACAAAAGTCATACTTATTTTATGAATCATAAAAAACTTTCTGGAGCAGCGACTAACAAGTTCATTTACCTGCGATTGTTATAGTTATAATGTAGTAGTAGTTAATGCAATCACCAGTACGACAATAGAAAAATAAGGCACTTACGAGAACAAAATTTAGCTGTTTATTATGAAGATTGAGAAGAACTGTAGGTGGTAATGATAAAAAAATACAAATGTCTTTTTAAAAGAGTGACGCCTAGAGTCTTACTGATTCTTCTCAAGGTATTTTGTCTTATAAGTGAGTACTACAATTCTAATTTCCTTACCTTTGAAATAAACATATATTTGAATGGTGCTAAAGGCAGATGATTAATTAGGGTTTCCACTTAGTTTTTGTATATTACTAACTACGGGTCAGTTACGGACGGTGTCTGTATTTACATTTCACAGTCGTTTTCTGATAGATCTTGTTGGTTTCATAGTCATAAAGCACCACACCGTAGTAGATATGAGCGCCGATAATAGACCAACCGGCGGAGCGGGCGGAGTTTCGGCGGCGCGAGCGCGACCCTAAAACGAATTTGTATAACGGTGTTTGTTTTTACAAAAACTCTTATACAAATACTTTTTCAAAGGAAAATATAAAATAACGTATTTTCTATAGTAATATAATTTTTATCAGTTCGATAAGGGGCTCCGATCGTACGTACGTACGTGTATGCGTAGTGATAATGGCGACGCTAGAACATGACAAATTATTTTAATAAACAACACATCTTTGAATATAAAGTCACTAACTAACTTTTGTGGCCCATCTATGCCACCCCTGCTGAGGCCGGACGGCACGCTGGCCTATACTGCAGAAGCCAAGGCAAATCTTTTTGCCTCACTCTTTGCAATTACCTCAGGCTGGCTGCACTATGGCGCCAATTCGCAAACGTCAAAAAGAGGTAATTAGAACTCTGCGGAATCTAGACGTGAATAAAGCTAGCGGGCCAAATGGAATTCTAGCACTAGTCGTACGTAACTGTGCGCCTGAGTTGTCTCCTGTTCACACACTCCTACACCTGTACCGCTTCTCACTTGAGACTGGTGTAGTTCCCAGGTCGTGGAACCTTGCAACCGTACAACCTACGCCGAAAAAGGGAAGCAGAGCTGACTCTGTCAACTATAGACCTATCTCAGTCACTTCCATACTCTGCAAGACTATGGAACGTGTACTCAACAACCGTCTCCTGTCGTACCTTGAAGACAACGACCTCCTCAATGATCGCCAGTGCGGATTCCGACGAGGGAGATCTTCTCGTATATGCCTGTCACATACGGAGCGAGGCTATAGAAAAGCAAGGTGAAGCACTTGCAGTGTCTTTGGATATTTCTAAAGCCTTTGACAGGGTCTGGCACGCAAGCCTTTTAAGTAAGCTTCCCTCTTATAGGCTTCCCACTGACTTGCAATTTTATCTCGAATTTCTTGAACGAACGTTCGATTCGAGTGGTCTTAGAAGACTACTCTTCCGAACATATGGCGATAGATTCCTTAGGGTTCCGTACTGTCTGCAACTCTCTTTCTGCTGCATATCAATGATATGTTAATTTCAGTTGTAGATAGGTACTTGACCAATGCAAGGGTCAGTGGAGTGGAAATCCAGTCTTGTCGAGTGTCCATGGTTAGCCGTTTAGATTTGACACTCAAGGCAGTCTCCGATTGAGGCGATGCTAATCTTGTAAAATTTAACGCTGCCTAAACGCAGCCGTATCTATTTTCCACAAAACGGAGTCCCTTTGAGCTGACTTCGACTTTTCGTGATATATCTATACCGATGTTGACCGTCTCCAGCTACTTGGAATGAACCTGTCGTCCAATTTTAACTTCGGCAGATACATTGAATCCATGGCCAAACATGCAGCAAAGAAGCTTGGGATCCTTTCCAGGGTGAGGTGTTACTTCACACCGGGACAGTTGCTTCAGCTGTACCAAGCACAAGTCCGGTCGTGCATGGAGTACTGCTGCCACCTTTAGGCTCTGCTACATGCCAACTGGCCATCTTGGATTCAATTGACAACCGTGTGAAGAAGCTTATAGGTGACTCGGAATTTGTGGCGGCGAAGGTGCAGAGCCTTGAACACCGCCGTAAAGTTGCCAGCTTATCGGTATTTTACAGCATATATCACGGAGAGCGTGCGATGGAATTACACGATTTAATTCCGCTTTTCCCTTTCCATCACCAGGGTCTAGGCGTAGGCTTGGGTTCCACCTCTATGTTGTGGATATTCCAAGGATTCGCACGAAGCGTTACGCTTCCACATTTATATGGCGAACGGCTATGGAGTGGAATTCCCTGCCTGCAGAATTGTTCCCTAAACTTTATAACAGGGCTTTTCAAGGCGAAAGTGAATAGGCATTATTTAGGTGTGCATGCTCCATCGTCACTTTCCATCAGGTGAGATGGAGGTCAAATGCGAATTTACATTTTATATTAAAAAAAAAAAATATTAGAAAAGTCATTTTCTGGCGTCGCCATTTTCACATACACAATACGGAAACGTGCGCGTGCGTACAATCGGAGCGCCTGATCGAACTGAACGGCGAGCCGCTTGCATTTGTCGACGGCGGTGGCGCGAGGACAACCGCGGCGGCGCGGCGCTCATATCTACGCCGTAGCAGTAGAGCTCCTTGTGATAGAGTTTGTCCAGGGAAGTACTGCCATCTTACATTTTTCTTCTGCCAAGTAGTAACGTAAGCATTACTGTGTTCGGATTTTGAAGGGTACTTTTGAAGCGACTTGTCAATTCATGCCTCAAGGTTAATGCGCTCAGTGACAGTGTCAGTGCCGCATAGATCTTTGTGACATAAAGCTCTGAGCGGCACTGCAACTGTTATGGACAGGCGTGTCGCTTACCACCAGGCGCATGACTTATTCGTCCCTTCACTTGGTATCATAAAAAAAGATAATCACACCAAGTAGATACCCGATCTCAAATTATATTTGTTCTATAAGTACCAGACGATAAAATTAGGTGAAAAGAATTATTAAGGAATTTCTTGTACTCCCCAGACCGGAATTAATTTAAAGTTACCTAAAAACCCCACCGGGAATCGAAACCCGGGGTCTTCTCAACTTGCGCCTAGAGTGCTTATCACTGGTATACCAAGATCGCGAAACCAATTGTTTTACAGGTTGCATGGGTATCAAATTAGCGATCTTTCTAACGTAGTATTTCTTATTTAATGATTCCTAAGTATGAGCAATTTAATTTAGCTTAAGAAACGGTGCGTAGGCGCGTTGCAGTTCATAAATGCGTTGTAAACTCA